GTTAGTGCGTGCAAGTTTTAATGCCCTTGTGTGCGTGTGTGTGTGTGTGTGTCTGTGTCTGTGTCTTTGTCTGTGTCTGAGTATATATATATGTATGTATATATATATATATATGTATGTATATATATATATATATATATATATATATATATATATATATATATATATATATATGTATATATATGTATATATATATATATGTATATATATATATATATATATATATATATATATATATATATATATATATATATATATATATATATATATATATATATATATATATATATATATGTGTATGTATTATATATATGTATATATATGTATGTTTATGTATGTAAGTATATATGTATAATTTACGTATGTCAGTATATAGATAAACGTATATACATATTTCGATCTTACGCTACTTTATAAGGATATAAAATCCCCTACTGACTTTTCTTTTCTGTCGCATGCTACTGTACACAGGTTTGAATTCCCCTTTAAGCTTTATTTCAGTCTTTGTTACTTTAGGCAAATCTGACTATAACTGCGATCTCATACTCTTTTATACAGGTTTCAATCCTCTCTTGATTCTATTTTCGAACTTATACAGACGCCATATTGGATTCCCGAGCGAGCATTTATGACAACCAGTGAGTTTAAAGAGACCAGAGATACTTTGCGGTTTTGAAGGATGAAGGGGATAGTTTATTTTTTAAGGATGTTAAGTGATATGCAAATCTGAATCCCGTATAGAGTATACTTGCTGTCTCATACTATTTTATACAGGTTTGAATCCTCTGTATATTGTATTTTTTAACTTCTACGGTCGCCATTTTGGATTAAATAGTTGATATAGGCTTGGGATACTTTGCGGTCTTGCAGGGTGAAGGGGATAGTTTATTTTTTAAGAGAGTTGTGTTTTAGAAGATAGTTTTTTTTGGTGGGTTATATGATTTAAATTTTATTTGGATATCTTTTTAAAAATCTTGTGAAATAAGCTGCAACTCTAAAAAAGGATGGGATGTATACGCGCACACACGCACACGCACACGCACACGCACACACACACACACACACACTCACACACTCACACACTCACACATACTCTCACTCATTTACTCACTCACATATACACTGCATATTCATATACACGATGCTTGAACACAGAAATAGCCTTAGAAGCAAGACCCGCAGGATTCTGAGAGAGAGCGAAAGCCGCGAAAGGGAAAACGGAGGAGAGCACGGAAGGCTCAGGACATCTTTACATGTCCGGGTCGGGACCTGAACCTCCGCGAAGCCCTCTAGGTTGTCGAGAGGATGCTGCAATCACCGGGTCAGAAAAAGAGTCAATTACCTCAATTGTGCGGCGGCGGAAACAATGGCAGAGCAAGCGGGGAGTCACCTGCAAACACGCGAGCGCCCGATCTTAGAATTTTTCCCGGAGGTGGCGCAGGCGGAGGCGGCGGACTGTAGCCTCCGGGAAGAAATTAGCGGGACTTTTCCCTCGTAATTAAATGTGATAAAGAGGGAGTCGCGTGATACTTAGGACTCCCCACTCCTCTCTCCTCTCCCCTCCCCTCTCCACCTTTCTCCTCTCCTCTCCTCCTCCTCCTTCCTCTTTCTTTTCTGTCCCTGTTTCCGCTTTCTGCCCCCCGCCCCCTATCCCGGCGCGCTTGGCGGAGGAATACACGGCGGTGTCGGAGAGGTCTTATCTCTCAACTCTCCTTGTTCTCTTTGTATCTGGTCACTTCTCTATTTTATTACTTGATTCTGTCTGCCCTTTTTTAAATTTCCGGCCATAATTTCAAAAGAGATCACGAAGGTTAATCTGGGTCTCGCTTTTCCTTTCTTCGTTGTAGATGAGACGCCAGCTGATCGGAACGGGCGTTATCTTTCAACTTTATCTCTTCCTCTTTATATTTATCCATTAATCTCTTTTTATGTGTAATTATTTTCCCCTTTTGTGTCTTATTTTTCTCTTTATTTCTACCATGATTTCACAAGAGATCTCAAATAACGTGTTTTCTTTCGTGGCTGTAACTGGGACCCCGTCTTTATCTTTGTATTCTTTCAATATCTCTTTTTAAGCATTTATTTATGTTTTTTTCCCTTTTTAGTTGTCTTTTTTCTTCAGTTCTACCCTGATATCACAAGATATCCCAAAGACTACTGACTTAGCACTCTTGTTTCCCTTTTCTCTCTTTCTTTTTATATAAATCTACTATCTTTTTATAGTTCTCTATGTGTGTTTTTCCTTTTTTATTATTTTTGTGCCTTTTTTGTCTTAAGTTCTACCACGATTTCACAAGTGATCTCAAGTAATCGGCTTCACTTGTTTCCTTTCGCCGCTGCAGATGAGGGACCAGCTGATCGGCACGGTTCTTATCTTTCAAGTCTCCTTCTTTCTCTTTGTATCTATCCACTTATCTCATTCTTTTTTATATCATTTCCTTACGTTTTTATTTCATTTTATTTTTATTATTGTGCTTTTTTTTCTTAATTTCTATCGCAATTTCACAAGAGATCTCCGAGGCTAATCTCCTCCACTTGTTTTCTTCCGGCGCCGCAGATGGGACGCCACCAGCTGATCGCAACGGGTCTTATCTCTCAACTTTCTTTCTTTCTATTTATATCTATCCACTTATCTCATTTCCTTTTTTTCAATTATTTGCTTATTCCTTCCTTTTTTTCAATTATTGTGTCTTTTTTTCGTAAGTTCTACCGCGTTTCTGCAAGAGATCTCAAAGCCTAATCTACGACACGTGTTTCCTTCGGTCGCATGTAGATGGGGGAAAAGCTGGTCGGTACGGTGTCTCATCTCTCAGCTATCCCTCTTTCTCTTTATATTTATCCACTCATCTCTTTCTTTTCTATCATTTATTTTTTACTAATTCATATTTTTAAAAATTATTGTACCAAATTTTCTGGTCATCTCCCAGCTTTCCCTGTTTCTCTTTATATTTATCCACTCATCTCTTTCTTTCATTATCAATTATTTTTTTATTCATTTTTTAAAGATAATTGTACCAAATTTTCTGAAGTTCTACCGCGATTTTACCAAGAGTTCTCATAGTCTAATCTCCCCCCCCCCCCCCCTGTGTTCCTTCCGCCGCCGCAGATGGGACCGCAGCTGATCGGGCGGGTGAGTGACCTCGACCTCACGTGGGACAAGGAGCTGGCCTCGTCCTCCACGCGTCTCAGTCCTTACATCGACCTTGACATCGAGCACAAGAACGCCCTCAGAGCTGTCAACGCCTTCAATTTCGTCCAGATGAAACGTGAGTCGAAAAAAAAATAAATGTTTGATTAAAAGATTTTGGCATTTTATACGGTTAGCATTTCTCGTTGTTATTAACCCAGATTGTGTAGTGGATATTCAGGTTGTCTTAGAACACTACACTAGTCTTTCGAACACTTTGAATCCAGAATTGGTTGTTTTGGGATCAAATGTTTACGTTAAAAAAATCCTACTTTGGATATTTTATGTTCGGATCGTCTCTCTTATTAATCAAGTGATTCGAACACTTTGAATCCAGAATTGGTATTTTTTGGAATCAAGAGTTGATGTTAAGAAGCTCCTACTTTGGATATTTATGTTCTAACTCGTCTCTCTTTTTTGCTAATATTCTTATTGAACAACTGATTCGAACAATTTGAATCCACAATTGGTGTTTTGGAATAAAAAAGTTTACGTTAAAGAAATCCTACTTTGGATATCCATGTTCGAATCATCTCTTTAATTATCACATGATTCGAACACTTTGAATTGTTAAAAAAACTCCTATTTTTGGATATTTATGTTCTAACTCATCTCTCTTATTACTAAATTAATGTCAACTATTCCCGCCCTTCACAGCGTGCCTGGATGGCGAGGAAAGAAGGCCTGCAGGTATATTACACCTAATTATATGCCTTAATGCTTCTTATTATTAATATTATTATTATTTCCTGAGGGCCAGTTTCTTAATGTGTCCTCGCGCTTACCCTTGTCTTATGTTGCTCTGTTGCAGATTCGTTGATTTTGTTGTTGTTGTTTTTTTCTCTACCCCCCAGAGCATGTGCTGACTGTCACCCGCATGTTAACTGGTATATATATTTTTTTGAAGAAATATTTAGATCGGCTTTTCAAAATTTATGGAATTAGAAGATAGAGAAGAGAGCTACTTACAAATCTTCCTTCTTTTTTATTCCTCCGATTTTCAAGTTGTTCGTTTGGCATGAAATTGGAAACCTATAGATGTATTCATGTGATTATTTTTAGGCCTATATTTTCAGTTCTATAGAAAGAGGGATGTTATTGATTTTATAGCATTGACTACGTTATACACGCACATGCCCGTCTGCACACATATGCTCATTCATTCGTTGATACGTTCACACACACACGCACGCACAAGCGCACACGCACGCCCCCCCTCCCCCAACACACACCCACACCCACACGCAAACGCACACGCACACGCACACACCCACACACACACACACATACGCACACACATACGCACACACACACACACACACACACACACACACACACACACACACACACACACACACACACACACACACACACACCCCACACACACACAAACACCCCCCCCCACACACACACACCCCACACACAGCATCCCTCCCCCCCACACACCCAAACACACACACACGCAATCTCCACCCACTACGTTCGTGTGCATAATCATCACCTATGCAAACACACCTGAGAACCTCCCCTTGTAAGGTATGCAAATGAGAACCAGCGTTTGATGCCCAGGGCTCTGCCACCAGCGCGTCCGGTTGTGTCAAGACGTGATCTCTCACTCTTGTCATAGGCGACAGTCACTCTGCTCTCGCTTTGTCATGTAAGAGCCACCGTAATCTGGCATTTGCGTCGGAGAAGTATGTCTTATCCGCACGCAAGAGGGAGGGAAGCGGAGGGTGTTCGTGTTCTTGTTATAATGTTCTTGGTTTGTGTGTGTGTGTGTGTGTGTGTGTGTGTGTGTGTACGTGTGTGTGTG